AATTCTCTAGCATGGCACAAGATGACGCACATAGTCTTTTGTTCTTCCACTTGGAGTTGTTGAAGAACAGAAATAACAAATACAGCGGTCTTGCCCATACCAGACTTGGCTTGGCAAAGAACATCGTTACCCGTCATGGCTTGAGGAATACATTCGTGTTGTACTTCGCTCGGATGCTCAAAGCCGCAATCAGCAATGGCTCTCAAGATTTCAGGCTTTAATAAAAGTCTCTGAAACCAGAGCTGTTAACGGAAGAATAACCTTTTGTTGCTGCAGGCTTTTATCGATAGCAGCTGCAGAGGTTGGCTTGATGGTTTCAGTTTCTTCGAAATCAGCCAATTCTTCGTCAACAACTTCCTTCTTTTGCTTGGACATTTTTTTTGTGTATTCTGAATTAAAATTATTCGCCTTCAACGAAGGCTTAGTACTTTCTGGATATTGAGATGACAGTTCATTCGACTTTGGGATGATATCCAGGAAGTAAATGTTGTAGCCTTTTCCATTTCAATATACTTTAAACATTCTTTCGATCCAAAGAATATAACTTTGATAAGTACTACTAAATATTTGAGGATGGAGACAAGGCCAAATTCCAATAACAACCAAAATTTATTATGGATGCAAAATTAATTCATAGATTTCATCTCGTTGTGGGTCATCCCCAAGCACAAAAACATGTTCTCCCACTCTTTCAAACTTGTACTTTTCATAGAATCTTTTTGCTCGTGCATTCTTCTCCCAAACTCCTAACCACACTGATTTACAAGAGCCTCCAAATTCTTCTCTCGCCACTCGTAAACATTCTTCCATGAGTTTGTGAGCAATACATGTTCCATGAAATTCCTTCAATACATAACATCGACAAAGTTCAATCGTTTCCTTGCCTTGATATTTCAAACAAGGTTCAAAAGATCCACATTTCAATTTACAATAGGCAATGACCAGTTTCTTGTGTTCCGAATTGTAGTTGGCATTCTTTTCCTCTTCCTCTTCCTCTTCCACATAGGACATGAGTGATTCTAAATAGTTAATTCTCTCTGGAGGACATTTCTGTTGTTTTAAATATTCCTCCAAGGAATGATCCCAATCAATTTCAATAAAAGCAAGAAAAGTGTTGGGATCCTGTAATTCCTGGCTTTGTTGAGTCAAATTGAAAGCCTGCTCCAAATAGGCTTTCATATTTTCCTCGGAATTATCCTCCCGAAAGGTCTCATAGAAGAGTGTTTTGGCCACAGAGGTTAATAAAGAAACATCTCGAGGATTATTCGCAGAAGGTTGTCGGATCTGAATGTTGAAGTTGAGGATCATATTTGCAGAGTTTCCGTCAATCAATTTTTTCAATTTTAATTCTTCAGTGTGACGACTTGCATTAAACTCGTCACTCCATTTCTTCCAAGTTTTGAGTACATTATATTCAAATGAATGGACTCATGCTCACCAATTCAATATCGATCCGTCATATTGAAAAAACTTTCCATTGTGTGTCTCTGGTGTAAATTCATCAAGAAGCTTTATAATACCTGGCACAACTTCTTGTGTGGTCAATGGTGCCTTATCTGAACCTGTATCCGTTTTTACTGCAGTACATGTGTGATGTATTTAAATAGTTCCACAAAATATTTGAATATTTCGTTCATAAATATTCAATATTCAGAAAAATCATTCACATGGTCCATCAACAAATTCTTGTCACATCTCTACAACTTACCCCAACCAGGATGAATTGAAAAAGCATATACATTTCCTCCAACTCAATACTCATCATCTTTGTTAACATGTTAAGTGCTGTTTTTGAGCAACAATAACTCACTCTCTTCCTGGGTCGATTGGTTCTATTAATGCTCGCCATTCCACTTGATACATTTGCCACAATAGCTCCATTTTCAAAACAATTATTATTATACAAGTGTTGAACCATCAATAGAGGTCCAATGCAATTTGTTTCATATATAGAAAGCATGTCTTGTTTGGTGGCATTGAGCAATGTTTCAAATCGATTCGGACTAAATGTTCCTGCATTATTAATAAGAATGTGAAATTTCACTTGGTTTTTCATCTTTTCCACATAGGTTTTGATGGTTTCTTCTTGTGAGACGTCGAGAGGATCAATTCTCAATCGATCAGGATATAATTGTAATAAATTTTGTAATTGTGTGGCATGTTCTGGATTTCTACAGGTTGCAAAAACTCGACGTTGATCATTGGAGGAAAGTAAAAGTTCGACTAATTTCAAGCCACTTGTTGATGATGAACAATTATTAATATATTATAGCATGATGATGAATCCAAATATTATATATTAATATTATATTATTAAAATAACAATTTCCGAAGCATGATGTGAATGACATCATTCCATTTGAACTCGAATCAAGGAATATATAAATCCAATTTCATAACGTACATTCCCTTTGAGCAACCCGTAATTAGAATGTTCTGAATGGAAGTGAGTTGATTCATTATTAATTGTGTTGCAAAAATGTATTTTTTGAAAGTTCTGTTGGTGAGAGGGAAATAATAATTGGGTGGTTGAAGAACAAGAGCTGACATGTTAAGGTTGAGAGATGATTGGTTTATTCACACGATAAAAACATAAATTAAAAGAAATAGGTTCAAAAAACATTCAATGTTGCATCTTTTGCACTATCCAAAATGGAATCTAAAGCCACCAGGGAATCCACCACCTTCTTGGAAGAAGGAACTAAATGGATGACCGTGATGGAATCCACCATGATCTCCATGACCGTGTTGAGTGTCAAATTCACCTGCATCGTATTGCCTACGCTTGGTTTCGTCACTCAAAACTTCATAAGCTTCTGTCACCTCTTTATACTTTTAGCAGCCTTTTCCTTTTCTTCTTGTGACTTGTGCTTGTCAGGGTGATATAATTTGACAAGCTTTCTGTATGACTTACGAATGTCATCTTGAGTGACTTCATTCTTCTTCTTTCGATCAAACCCAAGGGCCTTATAGTAGTCTTTTGGGAGTTAATACGCTCTTGTTGTTGAACTCTGCCCAAAATTTGTTGGATCTTTTGTTGATACTTGCTGGCATGTTCTGATTCTCTCACTCTGTTTGCGTCACTCTTTGCTTTGTCGAAATCCTCCTGCAGAACATGAAGTTGTGCTCTTGACATGAGGCATGCCACCTTATATTCTGAGTTTTCATCACCAAGAGAATCAATAAGGGTGGTACAATATTTAATACCATCGTCAGCGATGGTGTGATCTTGTGCTTCACTGTATGATTCACACAATTTGACTTTAGTGTCTGTCAAATCGACACCAGGTAAAATGTTCTTGGAATCCTTGTCTTCCATGAGATCAATGTATGCCTTAAAGCTATTCACCGCTTGCTTATGATTTCCACTTGAAAAATCGGAAGTTGCTTTTTCATGAAGGCTTTCTGCTTGCTTGAGAAGTTTGAACAACTCTTTGCACACTTTGTGTTCAGGATCTACTCTGAGACACTTATTTTTGATTGTGTTTTTAGCATTTGAAATGTCTCCCAATAGATATAAATATTTTGTGTAGAGAATGGTAGCCTCGACGTTTGAACTTTCCTTTGCATAAATAGTCTTAATATCTTGAGTTAAAATTGGGAATAATTTTGCTCTCAATGCACAATGAGCACGTTGAATCAGTAAGTTTAAACTCTCTCTTGCTCCCACCTCCTCTGAAATTAATTTTGTAATTGTTTGAATACAAGTTTTTGCGATGGATCCGCTCTTGTCATTGTCAAGTCCCAGCTTTGCATCAACAGTGTCACCGTCAGGATTTTGATGAGTGTCTTATACAATGATTTTCCGAGTTTTGCCTTTCTCAATTTCTCTGTTGCTTCATTGCTTGGTTTCAAAGAAATTAGAGTTTCTAGTGCAGAAATTGCATCCTCAAATAAACCAAGTGATAAAGCCAATTGTCCTTTCATAGATAACGCTTGGGTGTGATCAGATTGAATACGAAGCAAAGCATCCACATCGGAAAGAGCAAAGATAAACTTTTTCATTAATTGATAGGTTTCAGCCCTCTTTAAGAGTGCTCTCTTGTTTTCTCTATCCACCTCTAACGCATTCGTATATTTGGAAATTGCCTGTTGATATTCTCGATTTCTAAAATCTTTATCACCTAGTTCTATCCATTCTTCTGCTGATTTACTTTTTGTTGAGCCATGACAAGGCATCCCGTCATGAACAGTACTACTATTGTTGCCATCAGCGCTACTACTACTTTGATTAAACTTGGTCGAAGGACAAAGTGTCCTCCATTCCGATGGTGGTGGTGATGACGATGAAAAGTATTCCCGAACTCCATCACGTGCAGTCAAATCAAAAACAAGTGATTTTTTTGAGCTTTGTTCGGTCTTTCATATGGAACACGTGTTTCTCAATTCCGAGACAAGCTGTATGAACTCAAACCCATCCACCTTGAATTTTCATCATCATTGAGAGATTTCCAAACTCGAAACAAGAGTATTCCTTCTAGAATTGGAGAAATGTTTCTGAAAATCATTGTAGGAAATGATTTGAAGTGTTTCTTGATTTATCATTTGCAATATAAAATTCAAAACACTTAAAAATGAGTGAACAAGAATTTTCCAACGAACAACAAATTGTTGAACATTTTTCTAAATTGCAACAAGAATACAACACGATTGCCGGAACGGTAGCAAAATTGGAGTTGGAAATTAGAGATCATAGGTATGTTCATGTTCGGAATGAGGAGAATGTAGTGTGTTCGAGCTTAGGATGGTGATGATGAAATACTTTTGAATGCTAATTGATGATGACTTTATTCAGTTCTGTTCTAACTGCTTTGAAAGAATTGGACGGAGACAGAAAGTGTTATAGATTAATTGGAGGAGTGTTAGCTGAAAGAACTGTGAAGGAAGTCGTTCCTGTTGTGGAATCAAACATGGAAAATGTAAGTTGACCATGTTGTTGTTGTTGTTAACTTTAATTGTAACACATCTTGACGATTGAAATAATCATTATTCGATCTTAATCGGCTCAATCACTACTACAATTACAATTTTGTTCTCTTGAATGTTGACATCGACAATACCGGAATTGGGTCACATCATGCAATTCTAATGTAATAATAATAATGAATTGTGTTTCAATAATACACCAATTGTAACATCATTAGCTGGAAAGCACTGTCAAGAAATTACATCAAGATTTGGATGACAAAGAAATGGAATTGAGTGCTTTCAAGACCAAGTACAAGATTAGATTTAAGAATGAAACCATCAACACAGAAGATCGTTCGTCTTCTTCCAAACCAAGAGGTTCGAGCGGTGTGCTTGCTTAAAAAATGTCTCAATCAAACAATAAAACCGAATTTGACCAACACGTGGATGATGCCCAAGGTTTCATTGTTCCCTATGAGGAGAAGATGAGAAGTAAAACTCAGTTGTGTAATGTTGAAGAGGATGCTCTGCAAATTTGTGTGTTAAATAACAAAGGACTTTCCGGATGTGAAAAGAAATTGAAAAATACAATATTTGTCGGGCGAAAGAACTCACAAGACAAATGGCTCAGGAAAACAAAGCCATGTTAGAAAGAGATTTTGGAAAGCGAAGATGAACGATGTGAATGATTTGTCTTCATTTATTGTGCATTTTCCTGCAAAATGGGCAAGGACGAGAGTTGTGAATAACCGAGAGTGTCTTTACATTCCTAAATTGTCGAAATAGCAAGTCTTTTTCACATCGAACTTTGTTCAAATAAATATCAACTCGAATGTATCAAGAAAGTTTCAATTTATTCAATAAATAAATAATTGGTACAGTTTACAAGGTAAAGAAATTGAGATCATTAAATACAATATAAACTGTTAATGCATTATTAACAGTTTCTGACAACATAATCAATCGCATCAGCTACATAATCCACATTCTTTCTATTCAGGCCACACATGGAAATACGACCGTTGTCAGTGAGATAAATATGGTATTTCTCAATCAAAACTTGTACATGCTTCTTTTGAAGACCTGTAAATGAAAACATTCCAATTTGTTCAAGGATGTGATTCCACTTTCCAGGGGTTCCTCTCTTCTGTAAGGCATCAAAAAGTAATTGTCTCATTTCCTTAATTCGATCGCTCATCATGACAAGTTCTTTCTTCCACAATTGGAATAATTCAGGATTATTCAGCGTCATGGCAACAATTCTTGCTCCTTGCAAGGATGGAGAAGAGTAAAGGCATCTAACAATGACCTTCATTTGAGATTGAATTTGCTTTGCGGTTTCAGGATTGGACACAACAAAGTTCAATGCACCAATTCTTTCACCGTAAAGACCGAAATTCTTGGCATAGCTTTGAGAGGCCATCATTTCAATACCGCGATCCACAAACATTCTGATAGCAAATGCATCCTTGTCCAAGTCTCCACTAGCGAATCCTTGATAAGCACTATCAAAGAATGTAATGTGACCCTTTTGTTGGATAACATCAGCAATGATTGACCATTGCTCGGGAGTTGGATCAACACCAGTTGGATTGTGAGCACAGGCATGCAAAAGAATGACAGACTTGTTTGGAATTGTCTTCAAATCATGAATCATGTCATCAAATGCTAAACCGTTGGTCTTGCTATCAAAGTATCTATAATATCCAACAGGTACACCTGCAGATTGGCAAATTTGAATGTGATTAGACCAAGTTGGATTGCTGACATACAATGCAGTTCCAGGAGGCAAGAATTTAGCAACAAATTCAACACCCAATCTCAAAGCACCGGTCCCAGAGATGGATTGAATACAAACCACTCTTCCCTCTTCGATGGCCTTGCAATTAAATCCAAACATTAACTTGGGAGATACCTTTCTAAAAGCTTCCAATCCATCCTGTGGAATGTATTCCTTATCCAAATTTTGATCAAGAATCATTTGTTCTACCTTTCTGACAACACTCAATACCATAGGCTTTCCTTCCTCTGTTCTGTAAGCACCCACACCAAGATTCACTTTGTTTGGAGAGGAATCTTCTTTGTAAGCCTCATTCAATCCCAAGATTGGATCTCTTGGAGCCATAGGAATAGTACCGAAAATACTGGTCATTTTGTTGTTGTTGTTGTTGATCGGTCTTTGATTGTGGCTGCTGTTACCCGACGTGTAATGGACGTTCAAGCTTGTTTGCGGAGGGTTGCAATGATGGAAAATTTTTTGGTCGTAAAGTTCTTGTTCGACGACGCTCGAGGAGGACAAGAGGACATGATTCGCAAGGGTTTCAATTCTCCTGTGGACTTGTGGTTGGTTGGATGCTGCCACTTGTTGTTGTTGGGTATTCATGAATGGGAAATGGGTGATGATGATAACGAAGAATGGTTTGATAGGGATGTTCACGGAGTGGTGATGATGATGATGATGTTGTTCTTGTTGGTCAAGTCAATCACACTAATGTATTGTGGATCGGGATTGTAAATGGTGGGTCAAACAGGAACAAGAAAATTATTAAATCGAGAAAAATCTCTTTGTTTGTTAAGTCTACTCAATTCGGAATGATATAAACCTGAGGTGTTTTCTGACTTGTGCCGAATGTTTGTAGTTATTAGTTATAATTAAAAATCAATGAATGAGCTGGCTAAGTCAAATAGAAATGCAAAAAGCTGTTTTCTTTGCTTTCAAGAAGCGAGAAATTATTTTTGTTCCAATAATTTTCCGATGACCATCCTCTCAAGAGGAGGATATTTGGACACCACGAAATGCATCAACGCGTGCGCCATTCTTGACTTGTTTGTGATGTTTCAATCCTATCACCTACCAGTTAACAAGACGCAAGTAGTCCTAAGGACGCATACGAAGCAAAATGTAATATCAAAAAACAGATATCACATGGATGGCATCAATAACACCGAACAAAGCATTGGCATGCAAACATGACCACATTTCCGAAGTAGGATAAAAGGAATCGAATAAGAGAATTCGATTCAATATTTGGATGTTCGTCCGCGGCTGGATTTCTACAAAGTTCTGGAAGTCAGCAGGAACTGGCAGCCATCCTTTTCGGCTATTCGCTGCGGCTGCAGGTTTGATGGGGTTCCCCTCTTCAAGGTGTTGTTTGGTGTTCTTGGAATTGAATATTCGAGATGTCTCTTTTCGAAAGAGAGTTTTTTGCCTTGATGTGTTGTTCATTAATCAAAAAGGTTTAGGTTCTGAAATATTTCAGATTCACCAAGAATTCTCAAGCTTTGCCAATCATGTTCCTTTTGGTATTAAATCTTTAAAATTAATATTACACGCTCCGTCCACTTTTTGATTAGTTTGTTCAGTTTCTGTTGTTTCAATCGATTCTTGGCATTTGAGAGTAGTGTGAATTATGTACAGTTTGGTGGTATTGTGGAAAGGTCACAACATCAACACAATGATGATGGTGTTATTTTATCAGATTTTCAACATCCACGAAGATATTAAAATCTTTTGTTTCGTCAATGCTGGAGACTTTTGTTGCTGAGTAACTGTGCGCTAGGTTTTTTCTGCCCACCTTATTCTTATAATATCCAATACCCAATATGAGAGGTATGCATTGTTTTGGAACGTTTTCAAAGAACATCAACCTATAAGGGTTACCACAAACTCAAGATAGGAAAAATGCAAGCATTTCAATTTAACAAACTGTTCGTCCAATGAAAGAGATGCCTTAATGATCCGAAGGT